GCATCAGGTTGTGCAATCGCTCGCAACATAAGTGATGGATTAAAATAGTGCTACCGCAGAAATATTAAATTAAAACGGTCTTTACAAAGCGAAGCACTAAATATAAAGGCAGTTAATAACAGCAGCAGTAAATTATTGTTTTTTAGTCACTGTACTCAGTGTTTTTCAGCGAATGTTTGTGCACTAATGCATCATTTTTCCTGTCTTTTTAATCAAGCCTGTTGGCTTGCTGCGTACCTCCATTACGTTCTCTTTATATTGCATTTGTCTACTATTAAGTTTTAATTGTTTTTCAAACGCGATCTACTGCGGCTCTATGTTTACACGCTTGTTTTCAGTCTTTCTATATTTTTTTTCTTTACAAATTATCCTTATAATTCAATTAATTTTAAATAAAAATTAAATGAATTATATATTTGAGATGTTTTTAGTTTATATCTTCACATCTGAACAACATGTCTGTAAATTTGTTTTAACAAAAATTGTGTTAAAACAATATGTTGGATAAATGTTTTTTTTTTTTTTTACAATAATCATGGTTGTCAACTTGCCATCAGCAATTATCATTAAAAACAATGCAAATATTGATATTTGTAAAACTCAATGTGTGGCTTTTGCACTTTTTAAAGTACACTTTTACACATAAATATCCTAATTTAGGGTTTTAGGTAACACTTTATTTTACGGTGTCCTTGTTACATATGTTACATGTACTTACTGTAGTAATAACAGTAAATTATGCATAATTACATGCAACTAACCCTTAACCTAATCCTACCCTATTCCTATAGTAAGTACATGTAGTTACTTAATATTACTCTGTACTTAAATATATAATTACACTGTAACAAGGACACCTTAAAATAAAGTGTAACCGGGTTTTATTTAGTCATAATTAAAAAAAAATCTAATTGAATTTTTTATCCGATTAATCGATTAATGGAAAAAATAATCGTCCGATTAATCGATTATCAAAATAATCGTTAGTTGCAGCCCTAATATATATATATATATATAGATATAGATATTAGTGCTGGGCAACGATTTAAAAAATTTAATCGCGATTAATCGCATGATTTCTTGCGATTAATCGCGATTAATCGCATTGTTACGCGCAATATTGAATAATGAATTCTAAAGTAGTGTATTGCGCACTTTTGATTTAAATGTACTGCTACAAAAGTGCAATAACATGTGGTTTTCAAAAACTTTAAACAAATAAGGTGCTTTTATACCAGCAGTATTCCCTTTACACAGTATCAATAAAATATTTCTTGTAAATCTCAACTTAAACATTAACGTAATCAAATCAAATATTTAAACAAAGCTATTTGCCACTGCCAGGGCATTACCTTTTATCTAGCTTGTTAAAAAGAGTACTTTTTTTTTCTTTTTTTCTGAACAGGTATCTTGTATCAGGGAGCAGCAGAAACAGTCTAGTCAAAGGGTCATGATCACTACTACAGATATAAGTCGACCAACGTTACTTCTCTGATAGCAGCTTAGGTTTGGTCATGGCATGCCATGGTTTCCCACGTAAGATTACATTAAACAGAGGTAAAGCCCAATTTATACTTCTGCGTCGAAGTCACGCCGTAGCTGTGTAGCGCGCGTACCCTGACGTGCATCTCTCCAAAAATGTAACGTCAATTCTACGCGTACCGCAAGCACTGTGATTGCTAGAACCGCTCCCCGGGTTTCACACTCTCCCTCTGCATGTGTAATTGCGCGTCAACGACGCAGATTTATAAATGAAAACCAACACGTAGTCTATAGCGTAGAGGCTCCGGCGTAGGTCTGACGCAGAAGTATAAATCAGTGAGGTGAAGTGGTCGAGCACAGGTGCAGCGACAAGCGGGTGCGTTCCTGTGAAACTGTTGCGGTCATGCTCGCCTCACGCACGCGCCCGCGCGTTGCCGAAGTTGAATTGACAAACTTTTTGTACACGACGCGCAGCACAAATCATTGGAAGAGAGACTGATCCTCGGCTCGCTGTTTGTGAGTTTCCAGAATCTAAATAGTTATCAGGACATCAACAGGAGGGAATTCACATGGCAGAGCATCCCCGCTAAACTAAACGCAGGCCTATCAGGTAAAGTTATGTATAATTTTAATTTAAGTTAAAAAGGCTACAGCTGCGTAGCGCACAGAAGCCGTTGCCATGGTTACTATCCATAGAGCGCCTGTCATTCACTCGCGGAGCGCTGTCTCCCTTTCTGTTCACCTGAGAGAACCTGCCAAAGCCTCTCCACTGCTGGTTTGGGTGGGTTATTTGCTGGCTGACCAACATCCCACCCCTCCTGTGATCATGGTTTGACTGTAGGCCTGTGTGTATTCAGAGCCAGTGAGCAACGGACTTTCAAAATAATAATAATAAAAAAAAACTGCGTTAACGCGCGATAAAAAAATTGTCGCCATTAATTAATAAATGCGATAACGCGTTAACTTGCCCAGCACTAATATATATATATATATATATATATATATATATATATATATATACATACACACATGTAGGCTATATATATATACAAGAAAGAATGCAATGACAATATATATATATATATATATATATATATATATATATATATATATATATATATTGTCCTTACATTCTTTCTTGTGTGACACCCCTGAATGAAAGGCTCATTATTATGCAGGGTCACTGTCTGAGAACCACTTAATTATTCATGATAGGGGTTGGGCCGTTCCGCCCATCCGCATATTGCCTTGGCAAACAAAAAAAATGTTTTTCACAATTTAAAACAATCTATTGTTTTATGTGAATGATTAGGAAGGATGATTTTCAGATCATTTTGAAGCAAAAACTCTAGGCAACAACGTACATTAGTCAAAAGTCTTGTGGACTCATATTTAGTATGTTTTTTGTGTCCTTATTTCAAAAACTTTATTTTTTAGTTTTTTCAATAACCACGCATAAACAATATTCTCTCAAAAATACAAACATGTACATACATGTTGCTCACACATTATGGTAGTCCTGTTTGTGCTAAATAGAGTTTAATTTCACCTGTGCCATTAATATGTTTATAAGCAACTGAAAAAAGCACAAATGTCAGAGCATGTCAAAACATCTCAAGGACCCCAAAAACACCTTGGTCCCCAGAGGGTTAAGGGGAAAGTGGTCATTTTATTTATTTTTTTCACACCCATTTCATTCTTCCGGTATAAAAAGGGACTTTAAACCACGAAAGTCACGAAAAATTATAGGTATACGAGTTCATTTAGAGTGGTGATTTGCTACATCAGTTTCTGAGCTTTTCTCTGCATTATTTGTAAGAATGAACTCTCTTAATTCAATCACTGTGCTGTATTGTGAAAGAGATTGTATTTTTCCCTCTGCCTATTCAGCTTTGTGGTGTTTTCCTTTAGGCGTATGCGTTGTAAGTGTATGTTTCATCAGTATAATAACAGAAGAGTGTTCTTTGCAATTGCAATAGCCTGTATATCAATCATTCAGCATTAGACCCCATCCATAACTGCATCCAGGACATTAAACGGTGGCTCTCTCAAAACTTTCTTCATTTGAATGAAGGTAAGACCGAGTATATATTGTTCACGCAGGACTCACCTTGCAGCTCTCTTAGTTTTGGCCCTCTCACGCCCCAGTTTGCATCCACTGTTCGTAACCTGGGTGTTGCTTTCGACAATAGATTGCATTTTGACAAACAGATTGCTGCAGTCGTTAAGAGTAGCTTTTTCCAGCTTAGGCTCCTCAGTAAGGTGAAATCATTCCTGTCCCGTGCTGATCTAGAAAGAGCCATTCATGCATTTATCAGCTCAAAGCTGGAGTATTGTAATGCCCTCTACACTGGGCTTAACCTATCACTTCTCAACCGTCTTCAGATGGTTCAAAACGCAGCAGCCCGTCTCCTTACAAATACCCATAAACATACTCATATCACCCCCGTCCTCTGTTCACTTCATTGGCTCCCGGTACGTTTTAGGGTGGAGTATAAGGTTCTGATGTTTGTTTTTAAGGCCATTAATGGTCTGGCCCCAGCTTACCTCTCTGAGCTGGTCACTGTATACCATTCTGCCAGAACCCTCCGCTCCTCTCAGAACACCTCTTTGATTATCCCCAAGTTTAGATGCAAAAAGTTTGGAGGCCGATCTTTTGCCATCCAGGGTCCTACTTTGTGGAATGCCTTACCTACTACCCTTCGTAACATTACTGTGTTTAGTGTTTTTAAATCACAGTTGAAAACGTTTCTTTTCAGGAAGGCTTTCAACACGTAATCATTTTTTTTTTTTTTTTTTGTCGTTGTGTTAGTTACTTTCAATTTTTATATACTGTTGTCTTTTTATGTGTTTTATGGAAAGCGCTTTGTGCACCTTTTTGGGTGTTGTAATGGCGCTATATAAATAAAAATTGAATTGAATTGAATTATATCCTATAGGCTAATATGGAATTTTTATTTATGCATTTCCTTGTATCTCCCTTTTTTGTATTGTATGATGTGTTATATGGACCTATGCCTGCAATAAAGCTTTATATATTTGCATTTCACCTACGATGCGGTCAGAGCTGGATTTGACTACCAATATAGAAAATATGGCTATCGATATTTAATATGTAACAAGTCGAGAGAGCCGTTTATGCAAAGAAAACTGCAATGTTTAACAACACTCACAGCACAGATCATAGTTAACATATGCGTCAAAGCAAGAATGTTTCAAGTTATTAAGGACATATTTCATATACTCTTGTGCTTTAAACATGAACCAGCACCATGTATGGATGCATACCTCATGACTTCTCTTGAGTCTTTATCAAATCTGAGGTATGAACAACCAGTGCTAAAACAGGGGGTTTCATGACACTTTAAAAATATTTTTATAGAGACAGACAATTTGTAGCTCATATAACAGTGTAACAAGCTATATAAACTTCCATGACTTTATTTACTAATTTCTGTGGCCTGGAAATCCCATTTCAATATGGTTACAACAACGCTCGAAGGCATCTGAACAGGTACCTCTGTGTCGATCCACTGCTTGACGTCCATGGGCGCCGCAGTCATGTCGTCCACCTTATACTGGATGTTGATCGTGGATTTATCAGTGCTTCTGATGACACCAACAATAGTTACCTACAAAGTGTCAGAGAAAACATCCATCAAAACGTATTGATGGATGAATGAGTGTGTTAGCCATGTTGCATGTTGTTGTAGCCATGATAATGTTCAACACACAGAGAGATATTCAATATCTCGGATTGGGATGAACGTGACTTCCCAGTTCCCACATTTATAACTTCACTCTAAGTTAGTGTATTTTCTCATTTCCAAATGTAGTGGTTTTAGTTCCTGAAAATAAAATCTATTTATGGCTCTAGCCTGCAGCAGTGCTGTCTTCTTATTTATAGCATTGAACATCATACCTGTTATAGAAATAAATCTACCTTTAAGATGGATTTGAGTGTGTGTGTGTGTGTGTTGGTGCTCTTATTTCTGCCCTTAAAAATCACAGAATAAAACAGTTGTAATGTCAAACTGAATACATTTTAAATGTGTTAAATATCATCTCGTTGGCAGCCTATTTCTTTTAAACATTTATGCAAAAAAACTTGTCAATGAAAATGATACAGATTAAAACTTTCATTTAATTACCGGTAAATAAAAGGGGTGTGTTTGTTCTTATCTTTTCTGTTCTGTTAAAAGCATCAATGCATCCTCTGGTCTCTCTCTTCTCTCTCTCTCACACACACACACACACACACACACACATAGCATTGTGGTATTTTAAGGGTAGTTGTTTAGAGGAGTGGTTCTCTGATACATGAACCACCAGTATGTAGATCGCCCTCAGGAGGTACAAAGAACAACCACATACAGTACATTTACACTTTTAAAAGATGTGTTTTATGGGCGTAACCGGCGTAAACTAGTGTTTCTCCTTGATGCCGATTGGCTCACTGACATTGAAGAGATTAACCCCTTAGGTATCGAAATTTGGTACCGAATGACAAGATATTTTCACAAGACAAATGGCAATTCGGCCGTGGCTTTCAGATGGAGCAGCATTTACTACTGATCACAGAGCAGTGCTTCATTGACAAGCTGCGCATAATAAGAAAAAATAAGAAAAAGGAAAAACCAAAATCGCAGCCTGTGCCAAATTTCGGTTTAATGTCGATTAATCGTGCAGCCCGAGTCAATTCTGTAACAGGCGCCACTGAATGTAGTGAAAATGAGCTTAGAGGACTACTTTATTAATATAAGATTTATTAATAACCTTGTTTCTATGTCGACTGTACATTGAAATGGACTATTTTTCTAAACAGAAGCTATACAATAGTACACAGAAAAACTTTTAAAATAATTTAAGCTTAATTTATGTCCATATTTTTATTGTGAAATAAGTAGGGTTGGGAATCGAAATCGAAAATTAAATTTCCGAATTCCTCTTATTGATTCCTGAGCATTTCAATATGACTTTAAAGGGGAACTTGGCAACTATTTCACCTTAATAAAACCGTGTAGAAATCATTTGGGTGGTTAAATAACCTGTTCTGGTGAGAATGGTGACTTTCCCCTGCCGCAAGTGAGTTTTTTTACGACAGTGTTGTGAAAAGTAGGGGTGGAACGGTACACAGAAGTCACGGTTCGGTTCATACCTCGGTTCAGACATCACGGTTCGGTACGATTTCGGTACAATGGAGGGAAAAGCAAAACAAAAATGCAGAAGGCATTGTATTTTTTAAATAAGTTTTATTATTAAAGGCATAGAACCAGTTTATTTGTAGTGCACTGACAATAGTTTTATATAATTAGTTCACTAATTAAATTAATAAAAAGACAAAAAGACCTTGCGATATGTTTGGTAATTGTACCTGAATTAAAATTATTTTGCTATATTTCAGATAAATATATTTGTTTTCCTTAATTTTAATTAACATTATTAATTAACAATGTAACATTCTCATCTGAATTATAAATAATTGATTTCTGTATAAAATAATACTACCATTAAAAACACATTAGATTTTCTTTTTTAATCAATGTAGAATGTGTAAGATTAGTGCTTCGAGGACAAGAAATGAAAACCAATGCGATATGACGAATGTCCAAAAGATGGGACCCACAGACTGTTTTGAAATGGAGTTGGATAAATATGTTTTGCTTTTATAACAGTGTGTGTGTGTGTGTGTGTGTGTGTGTGCGTGTGTGTGTGCGCGTGTGTGTGTGTGTGTGTGTGTGTGATTTTGGTTGGGTGACAGTTGTAGGTTACAGTTTGACAAGAGTTTACAGTGTGACAAAAGCACAATGTTGTGTTTTATTGCGAGTGTAAACAAATATAAGTAAACACTTTGCAGGTTTAATGATCTGTATGAACAAAATGACGGAGTATGTTTTTTATGTTTCCACTGTTCGATCGCGCCCGCGCCTCTCTCTCTCTCTTGTCATCGCAGCCTGTTCATTATGCGGTCACACCAAACGCGAATAGAGCCTCAAATTCGCGTCTAGTTCGACGCTAGTCTAAAGCGAATAGGACGCGCGTATAAAGCCAACGTTTGAAGTGATTGCGCGTTCAGAGCTAAGCCGATGGTACAGATTATGTGTCCCTAAAGAACCCGCGTATCTAACAGTAGTTCCGCATTACATTAATTAATTTGGACGCGAGTTTTATTTATTTTTATACCGTGTATTCTCCGTGTAAATTCGTGCACCGAACTGTGATGCCCGTTCCGTTTCGGTTCAATACGAATACATGTACCGTTCCACCCCAAACGCCCCACAGATGTAGGGGGAGCTCGATGAGAAAACATGCGACAACAAAACTGAAAATCAGCGAAGAAATGGCTAGAGTTGCCAAGTTCCCCTTTAAACTATTCAAGCACGAGACAACTCACGTTTTATGTGCTGCGCATACATCCAAAGCGCGCTCACAGATAAAGTTACATTACATGCAGGCGCAGAACGTGTGTGTTAGCTGACAGGCAGTTGTAGTCATTTCGTTGTGTTCAAGCTCAGATTTCCCCCCGACACAGGCGACAACAGTCGGCTTTCACCAGCGCTAGTTCTTTGGCGTCGGTTTGGTGTGTCCCTACCTTTAGACATTTGGTGACCTGGTGTTAGAGGCATCAGACTCACCTGTGCGATCTCTACCTCTCCCACTTTAAAGACGTCCTCCGCCTGCACTGCAGACATCAGCTGAGAGACCGTGCAGGGAACGATCTGCTGCGCTCGGGATCTCTGCACAACACACATTTCATTTAAATTATTTAACATTCTCATTCCAGTGAGCGAAATTGGTAGACGCTTCTGAGAAAGAGATGGTGTCGCCAATATTTTTGGTCTATTTTCTCAAGAGACAAGACTGGAAATAATTAATACATCTGATAAAAGATAGTTTTGATAACTCTGAAAGCCTTTAATTTGGAAGAAAATCAAATGCCACAATGCAATAAATAGTTTTCCCTTAATTAAAAAATTAATTAACTTTTTTTTTTTTTTTTTTACATTATAGTAATGTGAATTGGGGATTTTAATGTGCTAAACTGTCATAAAGTTAATGACTTTATTCCTACATAGGCTTTTTTAGACAACATTTAATTTCTTATTTTTAAATATTATGTACTTAATAAAGAACTTAATAATGACTGAAGTAGCACAGATAAAGATCATAGGAGAGTGACAGACTGCAGCACTGGCTGCCAGATACGTGTGTGTGTGTGTGTGTGTGTGTGCGCCACAGCCTGAGAGACAGCAGGTGAATGTGTGTGTAATGTGTGTGTGTGTCTGACCTCAGTGTGTTTCCCTACTGTCCACCTCAGTAATGTGTGTGTGTGTGTGTATGTTAAAACACTGTGGTATCAAATGTTCACACATATTTTAATTTGTTACACTGTTAATTTGTACAATTAATTTAAATTGTACATTTAAATTGAAGTTATGTTATAATATTTAATTATTTTGATGTCTTTATAATTATTCTATGTATTCAAAGGTTGGGCAATATTGTATTATCTACAGTCATGCCAATAAAGCAATTTTTGAGTTGAATTGAATATGCGAATGTAGTGAGCTGAAGTTAACAAATGAAACATTATTATATAATTACACTTAACAATAATGTTCCATTTGTTAACTTCAGCTCACTTCATTAGTTAACAAGAAATAACAACAAAAGGTACTTCTAAATCATTTACTAATCTTGGTTAAAGCTCATTTCAGCATTTATTAAAATCAGAAGTTGTATATGTTCATATGATTTGATGGACCTGGGATAACATTAGCTAAATATGAACAGTTGTATTTTCATTAATTAACGTTATCAAAGATTAATAAACACTGTAACACATATATTGCTCATTGTAAGATAACCCTATTGTGTATATATATATGATACAAATATATGCTGTATACAAATATATAATTTAACACATCTGTAATATATTTTTTACACATCCCACACACATTATTGGCCGGTTGAGTCAGACTAACCCCTTTCTTGTCTCCTCCCTGAGAAGCGGCTGGGGATCCAAATCCTCCTGGAGACTGTGTGTATCCCACCATACTGGCCTCACCATATTTACCTGCAGAAATATACATATATATCCTGTTTTCATCAAGACTGTTTCATGGGTGAAAACAACATCCTCACAGTGACCAATGCCTGTATTTCAAGCAACAGACATGAAGTCCCTGACGACAACATGACTAAGTTACATCACACTTACGCTGTTTAACTGAGCTTTCGGACCTCAGATTTTGTTACAAACACAAATCATTAATAAACCACATACCTTGGTTCCACATTTTACTCGCGAATGTTCTTCTTCCTAGAGCGACAAAACAACACTCGAAAATCTCCCGCCACCACTGATCGCACACGGTTTGACGTCACGTCTCTAAGTCCGCGCGCTGACAGTGCGCATGCGCATTGTGCATGTTTGCACTGCCGCAAAAGTCCTTCTGCCAGATCAAAAGTATTCCAGATCTTTCTTTCTTTTTTACAGAAGAGATGTTCTTCTGACTCCTCTCTTTATTTTAAACAATTTAAGTATGCATTTAAAATATAAGTTGATCTGTTTGTGCCGTTTTAATTGGGTGAGCTAACTGAACGACTTTAACTTACTTAATACGTTTACATATAAAATCGTATTCACACTCATTCTAGTGTGTTTAGGTACAATCTGGAGGAAAACTGCTTACTGGGGACTTTTAATTTGAAGTTTTCCTGACGTCACGGGTGTGTCGCGGAGATATGTTGTCACGTTGTTTTTGTGTGCCGCGTGGGATTCATCGGTTCTGTTAAAGAATATAAATGGAAGACACTGCGAAACAAGACCTCGTCTTTCTTGAGCTCAGACGAAAGCTGCAAAGTGGCATTTTGTTCATTAGGTAAAGTGTGCTTCTATTCTTCTGAACGGATGCTCGTTTACTGAACTGCAGTCAGTGATTCATCATTGGATCTGAGTGAAGGAGCTAGAAGCAGTCAAAACAGTCCTAAACATGGGTAACATGCTTCGTTGGCACTAAAGAAGCTCTCGTGTGTGTGTGTGTGTGTGTGTGTGTGTGTGTGAGAGAGAGAGAGAGAGAGAGAGAGAGAGAGAGAGAGAGAGAGAGAGAGAGAGAGTGAGAGTGTGTGTGTGAGGGAGAGAGAGTGAAATGCTGTAATCAGAGGCCTCTAATGTTACTTACCGGTAAACAAATTCACTTAATAAAGATCTTTACAGCCATGGCTGAAGTAGAACAGATAAATATCATTCTAGGAGAGTGACAGACCGCAGCACTGGCTGCCAGATACGTGTGTGTGTGTGTGTCACAGCCTGAGAGACAGCAGGTGAATGTGTGTGTAATGTGTGTGTCTAACCTCTGTGTGTTTCCCTACTGTCTACCACAGTGACCCTCAGTAGTGTGTGTGTGTGTGTGTGTGTGTGTGTGTGTGTGTGTGTATGTTAAAACACTGTGGCATCAAATCTTCACACATATTTTAATTTGTTACACTGTTAATTTGTACATTTAGATTTAAGTTATGTTATAACATTTTATTATTTTGATGTCTTTATAATTATTCTATGTATTCCAAACTTTGGCAATATTGTATTATGTACAGTCATGCTAATAAAGCAATTTCTGAATTGAAATGAAATGAAATGAATTGAAGTGATTGAGTGAGTGAGTGAGTGTGTGTGTGTGTGTGTGTGTGTGCGTGTGTGTGTGTTAAAAATGTAGGTAGCATATCTTAACGAAATAAAACGTCAGGTTGTCATCAGAATGTGTTTCCAGCGTTCCGATCATGTGATCCAAACCCTAAACCATGCGAATATACGGCTGATAATCATAATGGTAACACAACCTGAAGGGCAGCATGTTGTCAGGACACCTGTTATTCAGCAGTTTGAATACTTTCTCTCTTTAGTTTGCATATTTTCAGAATGCAAGTTACGATGGATCACGTTACAACACAAGAGAATACTATAAATGTAATAAGAAATTCTGTACAGTATATATACAATACACAGTGCATGATTTCTGACAGGGCTACTGACACTGTTACTCTCAAACACTCTGTAGTGCAGCCATTTAACACTAGATGGCAGTATGGGTCACAGTAACTGAGGTTGGACAAGTTTAAAATACCACAAGTGTGTGTGCGTGTGTGTGTGTGTCTGTGTGTGTGATGCTCCTAACAGACCAGAGAAGATAACAAACTTAACCCTTTTATTTTGGTAAAATAAGTTTAATCACTAATTCACTATTCTGTGTCATTTTCTTTGACAAGTATTTTGAATATATTTAACACCTTTAAAATGTATTCAATTTGACAATACAACTGATGATTTGAAGGGCAGGAATAAGAGCACACACACACACACACACTAAATGTAATTTGCTTTGATCTAACTGTTATGAAAGAAATGTTTCAACTCTTTCAAATTTGAATATACGGTTGCGCAGGAGTGGAATAATTTGCCATTGGACTTTAAGATTTTAACGGATAATGTTGGTTTTAGTATAAGTGTGAAGAGATAGTTTTTAGATAGGATAGCGATAGCTTAATGTGTATTTTTTTGTGAAGTTATTTTTGGTTTGTCATGAAAATGTTTCGTTAAAAAAATCAGAGACTACAATGGAAATAAGTTAATGCAACTTTATTGTGGTATCCTTGACAAAGAAGTTGTAACAATGTTGTATTACTACTTTTTATGTTAAATAAACTCAAACTTCAGTAAGCAACTACACAGAAAAACGCATCTGACATCTAGTTATTATTGTCACCACTGTCTTTTCTTTGCCCTCACAGCGGTGACATTGCCAGGGAGGGTGCAGATGTGAAAGTCGAGTCCCAACATGATTCGCTCCTGAACATCCAGACAGCGGACGGGTCCTATCAGGTGAACCTCACACCTGGAGTGAGTCTAGTGGAGACGTCACGCCAGAGAAGCCCAGGATTCTCTGAACGCGGATCTCACTTCAGACTGCGTCTACGGGTGGAGCAGGAGTCAGGTACACCATCAGCTCTTTCTAGAGATCCACCCATACTGAGGTTTTTTATAACCGAGACCAATTATTTGCATGTTAATGTGCCCAATAAACAAACTGATATTTATTTGTTTTATTTCTGTTTTTGACAATTATAACAGCACTAAACCGAACAAACTAAAGTCCCCCTGTAGTCAATAATTGTGTCCCTTAAAACCATAGACTGTAAAAAGAGATGGACGACGCCCCTTCGCTCTCTTCCATTGGTCAGAACTGAAGCCGCCAGTGTCCCGATATGGCGCTGACATCTTGGGACTTGAGTCTCCGCAGAAGCGATCTCGGGACCGGACCAGTGCCGTCGTGAGCCGCGAAATCAAGGCCCCGCCCTCACTCTCGCAGAATCAATCGCAAGCACACGCTCCGGCACTTTTTTAAAATTAATTTTAGAAATTTAGATATTAAATTTAAAGCTCCAATCTCCTCAGTCCTCCGAAGATCCCGAAAAAAAGTCTGTTGGTGCTTCAGTGACTACTTCGCTCAGAGAACCTGTCAATCACAGCTGTCAAACATGACGTCACACCACCGCATCAAATAACTATCTAAAAACAAACTTATTTTAAAAACAAACACTTGAAATTACATCAGCGTGATAAAAAACTACAGTAAATCACAGAAACCATCTTTGAAAAAACGATATTAATTTTTTAGTCGGTCTCACTTGCCGTTGAATAACATGGGGAGGCGGGGTTTATGACCTATACTAG